TCCCTTTGTCTACACAATACTACATAGAGACTAATAAATGTTTTGATTCTTGTTTAAATAATTTGAAAACCATTATTTAGAAAGAAGCGGAAGCAACCCTGGTGGCAATCCTATAATCATAAATGAAGATTTGACCGATGACGAAGACTCGGATCATTCAAATGTCTTAATCAACGCTAACTTGTTAGATGCAAATGATACCTTTAACCAAGTACCAGTATTGAAGAGTAAGTGATTTCAACTTACATTTAAAGATATCAAAAGCTCGAAGCTAACTTTTGAATTCGATCACGATTCTCTTCATAAGCCACACCTAAGAAGGAGCCACCGACTGACAGTGTCACGCAGCCTCCTGTGCAGCTCGTAGCGGGTGAAAATCATCTATCCAAACCACTTGATTTGAAGTGGCTCGTCGATTATGATTCTGATCCACAGGTCAGATTGTTATTGATATTCAGATTTCCTGCATCCACTCAGGTGCATCCACTAACTAAGCCTATGTACATTTACAGACACCAAGTAGCCTTAGTGTTATCCCGGAGACCCCCGAAGCCGACGCACCCCTCTCATATGATCCACAGGTGCGTGTGCTCAAACAGACTTTTAGGCTTGATACTGGCTCAGTGGCTTGATACTGAAAGAGCCCGACCAAATGTCTCCCAGCCGTTGCCCACATCTCCTCTTTCTCATCCTGCTACTTCTGTAAGTGCATTTAATGGTTCCGATTCATACTATCCTCCATTCCTACTGACGCTTGTGGGAGATAGCCTCATCTCCTCACACTTCCAATCGATTTTGTAGACCACGAAGTCGGTGACACAAGCTTTGATTTAGAAGCATTGCTCCCAACCCCAGCTCGGCCTCCTAATCAACACCAAGACAGCTCCGCTGTTGCGCACGATCCACCTAACGATGACCCACCTCCCATGGACATGGAAGATTCCGCCGCGAGAGATGCACTGGTCACCGACCAAGTTACACACTCATCAATTCGCTGTGTAAGTCCACTAATCCATTCATATATAACCACACTGACGCTCATAGGTTTGTCTGTGTAGCCCACTAATACTAAGAAGAGAGCTAGAGCAATCGATTGTGACTTGACCAAGGCGCAAAGTGATGATAGTAACACCTTCCGGCGGTCTACTAGGCAGAATCCCATTCATCCCACAAACTCTCACACGGGAACTCGCCGCTCTACACGCCATTCAGGACGTTCGCGCCTTGCCAAGAATGTGTGTACGTCATCAAGCGCCTTCGGAATTGTGTCAGTTGGATGCACGTCTAACCAGTCATTTCTATCAGGACGCTTGTGTTCCACATTGGCTACTAGACTATGTTTCTTCGGTTCATGATCCCGTCGCAGATGGACATTGTGGATATCGAGCGATTGCTTTCAGTCTTGGTCGGACAGAAGACCAATGGCACTCAGTCCGCGCAGAACTCATTCAAGAACTAAGGTCCAAACACGAATTTTATAATATCCACTTCCAAGCACATAAGCGAGGCGATGGTGATGTAGATGATCATATCAAAGCCATCCAGACAGAAAGAGAAGATGTACTCGACACCCCAGCACTCTGGCTCGATTCAGCACAAATGATGTATATCATCGCCACTACCTACAAAAGAATGTTTTGCGTTTATAGTGTAGATCACAGCTTTTCGGCTCTGCCTCTTGATAGTCCTGCTAACAATAACCCACCCATATTTCTATTTTTCGATCGAAATCGTGTTCACTTCCTTTCACTCTCTATATCCTCCCCTTCCATACCTATACCCGAGCCATGGCTTGAATGGCATAACCTTGCGGTATCAGAGGCAAAAGGGTGGGTGAATAAGTTCAGCTCTTGCTTTTGTATGTTCAAAACATGTGTTGTACCTGTAATTGCCGCGCAAAAGGCTAAGTTGTATCGTAAAAACCCTGGCAATGTTGTGGACCTCATGTCTGATTAGCTTACTTGGTTTGAAATATGAATATGATACACTTTCATACTCGAAGTTGACTTAATGTCTTTGTGTGTCCTTTTGAGAATGCCAAGTCAACCAATCCACATTGGTGATTCAAAGATGTGCCAAAAACATACACCCCTAAAGGAATCAAATGTAGTATCTCACATTTCAATCAAAGAAAGACTCTCACTTCATGATTTCATGAAGGCTTTGGCACACACAAATATTGGATACTTTGCAGGTGTCCAATATTGTTTTTCACTCTCATTCAGGTTGCAATCTTTGATAATGAGAACTGTAGACAAACTATGATTGAATTACATTCATCATATAATATATTTGTAATTTGGTAAATTAGTAACTTTTTTGATTCTATTAGATTAGTTCGCCATTCATGTCATACAACATTTCATACTCAGCTTCCTCTTCTTCTTCATACACATCTGGCTCCTCAGCTTGAATGGCCGGCTTTCCAGCCATTGTCTTCCACTCCGTATTGGCCCATTCACTTACTGTGTCAAAACCTACTTTCAATCCTTGATCCTGTTCCGTGGTGCCTTGCAAATATGCGCGTGTATCTTGAAGTGCCTGTTTGAGGCCATTGCTCCATTTCTTCCAAAGCCGGCACATTTTCTTGGACACTATGTTATACAGTGACTTCAGCCTATTTCGCAATGTTGCTCCCTCTGCTGAGATTAGACATCTCAGCTCCTATCATCAATTGAATTGTCAGATACATCTGGACTCTCTCACCTTGTTCGCTTCGCCGCTTCAAGCCCTGTACACGACCATAATACATATTTGCCCAACCTGTCATCTGACGAACTTCTCTCGCAATACGTCGCAGCTCTTCGCGAGCACTTCTTTCCGACAAGAAGCTTGCAATGCCAACACGGTCCCTCTCGCCTGCTTCACGGTCCTCTGGCGCTTCTTCCCCTCGATTCCAAAATGGGTCGTCCATTTCCATGGACATGACAGCCGCCAGGTCTGGCATTTTGGGCTGCACAGCGTCTGGAAAATCTTCCCGGTATTTATCTACACGTCGCTGGTAGGTCTGGTGCTTGACTCGAACATCTTTAGTTCGATCTCCTAGATGTTTGGCCATATATTGTTGTTGCCGCGCGCCTGGAACCAATTGACAAGTAAACATGCAGTAGTAGGAGGGCATACAGTAATGACATAAACTTACCTGTGTGTCGATGTCGTCGCAGGCGAGCCTCAGTCAGTCCAACCCTACTTTCATACAGCTTCCCCCGTGCCAAAGAGATGGTTAGAAGTGCATTCCTCTGATCCCCTGTTAAATAATCCTCATATCAGCATGGGGTTTGTCAGGAGACTAAGATTTGACCCACGAGATGCATCCGCTAGATCTCGAAACTGAACACCACCAAGCTCATTGGCCATGGCTTCAATCTGTTCTTCAACATCAGCCACAGTACCTGGAAGTGCCATAAGTTCGTTGTTGTCGGCCTCGGTCCTGGCTCTTCGACGTTTAGCTTGAATAGCCCTCAGGCGATCACTGCATAGTAATTTAGCATCAGCCGAGAATAAACAGGCAGTGACATCTAATTTGAGAACACACCGTGCTACAACAAGCTCCTCTTCTAAGCCCAGGAGTACAAGGAGGCGCTCCCGCTTCTCTTTTGTGGTTTCATTAATCACATCAAGCTGCCGGGTCTTTTGCTCTTTCCACTTATTCTCGAAATAAGCTCCCGCAACCCCGGGGTCAGCAAGTACCAAGTTTTGGAGCACTCGTTCGGCCTCGTCGAGACGTTGGATTGCCTCATTCCTCTTGCGAGTCAGGTGCACGGCTGTTCGAAGTTTGTTGGTCAGTATTTGCAGACTATACATACCCTGCGGACTTGACTTACTAGCGTTATGTCGCAGGCCAGTAGTATAATGCTTGGCTCGCCAATCAATGGCGTCCACTCGGTGTTGACCTGTTGAATACCTTTCCGAGCTGACTAAAGAATCCAAGAATGACCAGACACGTTCAGATCCTTCCCCGTCTGAAAGACCCCGCACCAGGTTGATTCTTGGATTCCATTGCAGTTGGCAAGACCACCTATGCACGTATGCGTGAAAAACGCTTGTGCCAAACTTCAATCGTCTCAAATGTCGCTCCTGGGTAAACATCCCACGCTGACAAACATATCGTGTCATCATTTGCTTTCCGGGGTTCTATATACCATGGTAAACACACCTTTTCGATTCCCGTTGCCATTGTACATCCTATATCATATAGGAACCCGATCCTCTGGTCTTCTGTCAATCCAAGAAACCACCCGATCAACGAATAGGGGTAGTGAAGCCTGTGGGTAAGATACAGCAATCAACAAACAAATCTGTATACATGTATGTCTAGAATTGAAGTGGCATGACTGACTTCTCGCCACTCTGGACAATGTTTGCAAATTGTAATGGGTGATCATGGCGGCAAGCCATGACCATGAGACCGGTTTCGTCACATCCACCCCAGTGCCCCTTGCCCCAAACATCATTTGCGGCGGTGTGTTGAATAGCACAGGGTTCGCCCTATTGTAATACAGGAGCAGTCGCCTGGTCAGCGACTGATCTTACCTTCGAGAGAGTGTGATATCTAACAAAATGCACTGACGGCGTCGTTTTCCGGTATACCTGCAAGTCGATTTTCCATTTGAGTCACTCGTGATTGCGGTAAAAATGTGGAAGGCATCTTGATGGCTGTCCTGCCGGCTTGTTGACCTGCAACGATATGCCGCCTATGTTGAAAATTGCCATCTAGGCACACGATAACGTCTGGTTCGGATTCGATGGTACTGGGGACTGGGGCGCCGAAACAACGTGGGCAATTTTCGGCTAACTTTTCTTGAGGTGAGAGACTCATTTCCTCATTGAGAGCTGTTTCGGTGGCGGTTAACATCTTGCGATAGGCGTCAATAGCCCATCGAAATGGGGTATGCCAACGACGAGGCTAGCAATTCACAGATGCGTGCCGAGTGTTTGTAAGAATGACATCTAAGAATGAGGGGGACTTAAGAGAGGTGGTGACTTACCTCTTCGTTCTTGGTGAGGATCAACGGATTGAATGCGTCGAGAAACTCATCCAGCGCTCGAGTGAATGGATCCACACGGCTTGTGCAATACTTCCACACTATGTGGAAGAAACGCAGAAGTCGAATGGAAAAGGCTGTTTCTGGGAATTTGGGTGACCCACCAACATACCCCATGTAAATCAGACGCGTGTTATCGTTTGTTTGACATCCACAAAACCGAATCTCAGCTTTGCGACGATCTGAAGGTGAGGTAGTTATAACTTCAGGAATAGTTTGCTAATACACAGATTCCACGATGTGGTAAAGGTTGAAAAAGGTGGTGGGACATACACAAAATGTCTACAAGATCGACCCGCCTGAATCGCACTCGATGAGCTTGACAGTCGCACTGTGGAGGCTTATGATCAAGGTCCCACTTCGATGGATCACCCCATTCAGCAGTCAGCAGATGACATTCAATGTAGGCAACAAACATCTCCTGTGTAGCTGCTTCCAATGCCAGAGCCCGGGCCTGTCGTTCATCTTCAAGCCTTGCACGACGTATATCTTCGATAAATTCCGGGGTTGGAATGCGCCGATGCTCTGCTTCATCTTGATCGTAGGGATTGTGTTGCATAAAGGCAGCATTATGCCCGAAATCATCCTGGGGTAGCTGATATGCGTTGGTCAGAGCAGGAACTTTTGGTTTGCGTGACTTCACCGCTTCGGCCATTCTAGCGAAATGTCGTGCTTGAGCGTCGGTTTTGGGTTTGCCTAGCCAGTATGGTTTGCCGGGCTTGAAAGCCTGGTGAACACCTGCGAATTTTCCCATGGTTCGGTGAGATGATGTTATTCGATGACTGAGGGCAATTTTGACAAGATTCCATGACTGAGGTATATTGACGAAATGGGTTGATCATTTACCCTCACGCCCCTTGGCAACCTCAGACCTGAACCCTAACGTCATGTTTTGTCCACGTTCCTTGGGAACCTCAGTCCTTAAGCCTAACGTCTTTTTTTGTCCTCGTGTACTAATGCCTAAGGTCAAAATGCCTGCTACTTGAGAAATCAACATTTGCAAAAGTTTTCAGAGGTGTCAAGGCATTCAAAAACAACGATGAAAAGCAAGATTGGGTGGTGTGATGGAAACTCATAGATAATGATAAGTTGTTAGTGTGAATGTGGCATAATGACAACACTTGTCATTGTGGCATAATGACAACACTTGTCATTGTGGCATAATGACAACACTTGTCATTAATCAGAGTATTGGTAATCAAAAGTGGATAATAATCACCATGAAGTTATGTTTGGTTGAATATATTCAAACAAACATAACTTCATGGTGATTATTATA